AAGTCCAAGAAGCCAAAGCCAGTGAAAGAAAAAACTGCAGAACAATTGGCACTCAAGGAAGCAAAGACGTTGTGCAACAAGCAGTTTAGCTGTATAAATCTATAAGTTTTTTCGATTCATCGTGGGTATGTGGGTTGGGGGGGTTGTCCTGTCTAACTGCAGCAGTGGCCCAGGTTCAAAACCTTGGGCGATTCACTTCAAAGCTGCATGACTGAGCTGGCCGAGTACAATGTGCGCAATTCTGGTGAACTGGTTCCCGGGTTTGCATTCACAGTGAGAGCTGTGTTTCACCAACCCAAATTCTTAAGGACACCAGCCACCCGCCCACATGCCAAGGCTCGTGTCCTCGAGAAGCACTTGGTGACCTTCGAGAAAGAGTTGCCTGAGATTGCTGAGAAGGGTGCGCTTGCACTCTCAGCTGTGACCGATGCTGATCAGCTGAATGCTTTTGTAGATGCGAGGAAGCCCGTACTTAAGGTTATTCAGGATGATATCAGGGATGCCAAAAGGCGCATTTCCCTTGCAAAGGGCCCGAAGCCCAAGAAGGCAAAGGATTTGGGTGAGGGCGGTAGTGGTGGGTCAGGCTCCGAGGATATTTGTTTGTCGGACTGACCTGTCTTAAGATTCGATGTGACAATTTTATCCGTACGAAATCGTCATTTCTAAACAGCCATCAATCGGGGACTCGGGGACCTGCTGCCACTTAGCTGGGGTTGACCACTCATAGAATGGTTTCGCGCCCAAACAATGAAAGTGCCAACTATGCAAGAATCCATGGGACCCAAAACATACCCGTTCTTTGGTTGCAACATACCCACCAATGAACTTTCGTTTTTTGTGTGTTCGAAACCACAGAGTGGTACCAGGTAGAGGCAGCCTGAGGCAATTAGTGCTTCATGAGCTAGCTAGCTTTTGGATCACGATCACTTGGTCGTGCAGTACGGGCATCAAAAGTGTTGAGCCCTATCGAATGTATGAGCAAAGGGTGAACGCATCAGCCTGCTATCTCCCACTGATTTGCAATCATGCGTCTGTCTCGCAGAGGTGGGCGCCCAGCTGAGGGTTCCTCCGCAACGGGGTTCATGATACATGCATGTTTGGAAGCCTCTGTGTATACAAACATACCTTCGTGCATGTGCAACTATTGTTTTGGAAAGCACCGTGCGAACTCGATACAGGACATGCTACCTTTAAGGTGTGCTTGCGCAAACTAGTAACTAGTGTTGTGGCTATGGACCTTGTGGAGGAGTTCTTAGAGATTGGAAAGGATGTGACTCAACTGGACATACAAAAGCTATCGAGCCCATCCAGGAACTTCAAAGTGATCTTTTTGGAGTCTCTAAGTGACCTCTTTAGGGACTAAGTGACCTCTAGGATCTTAAAAGGTCACTTTGAAGGTCCTGCAGCATTGTGCGTATTGTGTTCAAATTGTAGGGTTGTCGCTGGGGTGGCTCCGGTGCCTGCCCAGGTGAGTGTAACATCAATCATGAAGCTCTTGGGGGGCTGTCAAGAAAAGATTTCCTCGTCGATTGGTCCCGTATCTTGGCAGTTTTTCTTGGTAGTATACATCTTGCAATGGGCATGCCTTTGAGCAAATTGCTGCTCAACAAGGCAGAACCTACAAGATCTTCTTCGGGTGGAGCACAGTCCCAAGAATGCTCCCCGAGCATTTTGGTCCTGGCTTCGAAGGCAGTACTGGAGGAAGATGCTTCCTGCTATACATGAGTCCCTTGATTGCGTGCCAGCTTTTAGGGGACTAGGTCGAGACCCATGTTGTGCTGTGGTTCCCTGCCTACTCACCCTAGGGTGCAAATTGTTATGAAAGATGAATCAAAGACTCCGCCTCACTTCCTATGCACCTGGCACATGTTTTTGCCTTCTGAAGTGCAACTTGGCTCGCAAGACCTGGGTAGGAGGGGCGTTGTACCTGTGCACAAGATTGAAACCTCTTAAATTGCCTGTGTCTCTGCAAGGTTCTCAAGTATTTTTCACTTCGACAAAGGACTCTTCCAACAGCGTTTTCTTGGTGAACCAGGGGTGCTGGTGTGCTATTGCAACATGCACGGTTTTGTTACAGCATATGTGCACGCATGCAGTACTGTGAACAAACAATTGAACAACTTTGTTTTGGAGGTGCTCCGCCAGTACTGGGAGTACATTCGACCCACGGAATTCTTCCAACAACATCCAGTCTTAACAGACCCTGATATTTGGCAGCAACTTTGTCCATGCGTGTGGTGCTTTTGAGTGACGGTGTCTGCAGGTATTTGTTCGTGCGCTGTGCGCGGTCGAATCGAAGGCTGTGGACTTGGATTCCTGCGTTCCGGTCATTGTCCACGGAGACGATGCAGAGGCGCATCGCCGACGAAGCTTCCAGGTGACAAGCTTCGCGTCCCTCCTCACAACAGGTGCCTCCAGTCCCTGGGACAGCCGCATGGTGCTGTATGTATTGGACAACAGTCGGTCATGTACAGAGACCCAACTCACGATGGACATGTGGACAGCTTGGAGTTTCCAAGAGTTGGCGCAAGGAGTTTGGAATGATCGTGATCCATGGAACCGTCCCATGCCGGAACGAGCTTCAAAGGGAGGGCTTCCTATAGCTTCTGGATGGAGAGCCATCATAGTTTGTCATCGGGGGGATGAAAAGTATTTGCAGAAAGCGTACAGGACTCGAGTTGGATGGTCTTCACCTCAGATATGCTGGACGTGTGCTGCGAGCAGGGAGCGTGACAACCCATGTCTTTACACTCATGTGGGGCCGCACGCGGCCCATCGATCGACCATGATCAGCTCAAGTGACTTCATCACAAATGTGAGTCGTCCAAATGGCTGGATTCAAGTCGCCGGGTTTCATCCCTCACAGCTCATCTACGATGTCCTACATGTGTTCGACCTGACACTTGTTCCAGACGCAGCGGCCTCCGTTCCTAGGTTGCTTCTTTAGTAACTAGTCTGACATCGAAGTTTGTTGCTAGAGGTGTTGCATGTCAGAACACGGTAGCTTGTGTGATGCGCAAGGCTTTGATTGAAATCACCAAGACGGCAGAAGTATTTCAAGGTGACCCGGTTATGATCAGTCAAAAATGTTTCGATTTGTTCAGCCCTCGTCAGGAACTTCAGTGGACGATAGACTGAGAGCTGCTTACGCTGAGTTTACTCAGTTGTGCCGCCAACATCGGATACGTGACTCAGCTGCCAAGTCAGGGACAGAATGGCAAGCATGAGCATGCTCTAGATTTGGGCAATTTGAGGCAGCAGAGGGCAAGTCTTCTGTGAGAGTCTTGCTGCACGTATGAGATTGCATGAGTGTTTGTGAAGGGGGCCATGGGCCATGCAGTTTGTTCTTAGGAAACAAATGCGACCAAATTCCAAAACATTTCCATCTTTGGCGCAGCGTCACTTTAACGGTGCAGACTCCCAACTGCATTACATTGGTCTGTGTCGTGTGTGAGCTGTGGTCAATACCTGTGATTCTCCGACATTCTGCCCAGGAATCAGTTATCTTGGCTCGCTGGTTGATGGGTATATGCCTAGCTCTTGCAGAAGCTCACCCACAATGTGAGCATGCACAGCTCCTTGGACTGGTGGAGGGGCTTTCAGGCTGCCATTGAATGCGTCACTTTGTTTGCGTGGGGTGCTGAGGCTTCGCGCAGCAGTGTTTGTGAACGCTGTTGCAATTCGGGATTCCATGAGCATCAAGAATGGGGTGATTCTTGATGACCTTCACCAAAGGGCCCTGCAAACGGCCACCTTTCTCTTCGCATCTGCATACAACAGTTTCATGGCTTACCTTTTTTTAACCGATGTGACATGTTAAGAGTGCCACATGGCAACCTAGGTTTGGCATCTGAAGCGATATCTTCAGGTGAGACATTGTGGAAACTACGTCCAAAATTACACAAGTTTCTTAGCGCAGCAGTTGCTACAACGCATGCACAGTCCTTGCCTCCACCCATGTGTTAACACGATCAAGGTTGACTCACATAGCCTGGGATAATGTGAAGCTCATATCTCCGATGTGGGCGAGTTGCTATGGGGATGAGGACCTGGCCACTTGACCACCACTTAGCCAAAGCATGCCAAAGCCTCCACTTTGTTACAGAACCCCATGCACATCTCATGAGGTTGGGCGAGTGAAAAAACTTTGTCTCTTGTCCACTGCTGGGCCATTGTTGGGGCGACAAGTGCTCCTTAAATACGCCAGCTACGTTTGCTGTCGCTGGCTGAGAAGGATGGAATGAATATGATGTTCTCAGTTCACAGGCCAAAAACAATCACCTGCAACGATTCCCTTGCAAACACCGAGCGGACCGAGCGATCCCGTCCTGATCCAGCGCTGGCAGCTAAGAGGGCTGCAGGCCGCCGCCAAATCAGCAGTTGAAGAAAGGTGGGTCGGGAGAGAATAGAAGGGGATGGGGGGAACTGTGACTATATCGAGCCTTTGATATATAGAGCTAAGTGGCTCTTTGATAAATGAGAGGCCCCAAACATGATATCGAAGGACCAAAAATCAAACGGCCAGTTTGAAGGTCCTGGCTGATACGGCCGGAAGAACATCCGATGCTTCCGGTGATGACACGTGGCATCCATGCGTTTGCAAGGATGGAACGTGACAAGCCTTCCCAAGCGGGTCAAACAAAGCTCAATGGTTGAGGTGAAACACCCTGCTCCCTTGGAACAAGTCAGCAAATCCAAAAGAATTCCCCTTTCACATCCTTTCACAGCAAATACATTGGATTATCTACCCGATATTATATCCTATACCAATCTATACCAGCAACTATGGATGATGATGGTTAGCAAAGGCCTTCTTGAACAAGACATGTGAAATATATTTGGTATAGTTACAAAGATGGTGTAAAAAGACTATAAGCAGAAAAAAAAACACAACAATGTTCGTTGGTTCTTGTGCATCATTGATTCATCAAGCCTCTCCGAAGCCACGCCCTCGCACTTCGACCGACCACCCCGCTCCACGGCTCCACCGGCTCCGGCGCCTCGCAGCGAAGACTGGCGTGGAATTGCTCCACGCTCCAGGTGTTGGGCGCTACCATGATCACCAAGTCCTGGCTGTTCGGCACTCTCGCGTGCGTGGAACTCTCGCGCGAACAGCCCCGCCCAGCCCCGCGAACGTTCGGTGGTTTTGGAGCCTTCTGCATGTTCGCAGACGACCGGATGGGGGGGATGGGAGGAAGGATGTGGAAGGGATTTTCCCGTTTGGAACGGAGCCAAATCGGGTCTCCGAGATTTTGGGACGCGATGAAGCCGAGCGAGAAAAGCGAGCCAGGCTGCTCGGACGCCTTGGAAGCGCGAACAGTTCCAAACTGAGCTACTGAGGAGGCGGGAACTTCGTGGGACAACTTGGGACTGAAAGCAGATCAGTAAACATGGCTATAGGCTTTAATATGAGAACGCCAAGAGATGGTGGTCTTTCAGTGAGTACATATAAATACATTCCCAATCGCCTCCGTTGGATTCATCAAAGGATCCATGACCCGCATGACCATGACCCGCCGGTGATACGTCCGGCCACCAAGCTCTGCTTCCCCACCTCCAAGGGCAGCACTCCAGCGAAGCTCTTGCGGTGTGAGCTCACAGAGGAGCTGCTGGACTTAGACCTGCGTGAGATCGGCATGGCCAATCAAATCGGTGTGTACTGTGTGTTTTTGTATTCGTGGCGTTGTATACTGTGGGTGTGGACTAAAAATAGGGCGACCGACCCAAGTTCGACTCCCTGGAAGGGAATTAGATCAGTCTACATATCGGTTATGGGGTATATATCGATCCCTACATACAAAAACCCCAATGAACATGATCTTGCTGCCCCAAACCAAACTCCTTGAGGACTTGGCCAAAAAGAAAGGACCACTGTTGACTTGGCTTAAAGCCTTCTTGGATTTGCTTGATTGAGGAACCCCCAGAGACGGGGATTCACCCGTAGGGGAAACAAATCCAAAGCAAAAGCCAGGCCTTTTATAGCTGAACCGATCACGGAGTCAGGTTTTCTGGGCGCAACCAGGCCAGCCAACGTCTGCCTTTTCTCACTGAGGCCGCTAATGAAACCGATCGCGAACCTGAACCTCCAAACCGCTACTCAACGGGCCCATTGGAACATACCGGATTTGGGTTGGCTGGTCCAAGACAAGTCACCAAAAGGCTCTGTCTTGCGGTGCGTTTTCCGTTTCCCCAAACCGAGGTACCGCATGGTACCGCAAACGGCTGCTCCACAGAAAAGCGCTCGAGTTCCAAAAAGAGCTCAAACCGCAGAACTTGCGCCAGAGTCGAGGGTCCAAATACCTTCTGAGCCCTAGTGATCCTTTGAATTGAAAAGGACCCACTTGTGAATGGACCCACTTGTGAATTGAAAAGCACCCACTTCACCCTGGAAATCCCTTCTTTTTTCTGACCTGTTTGAAAGTCCCTTTGCCGGGGACCAAACAGGAAGTGCGTTCTGCCTTCGAAAGACGGCGCCCATCTCCCGCCCTTCGGGTCGAAGCTCACCGTGCTTATACGCGCCGGTGTCGGTCCCAGGTCGGCCCCTTCCCGGTCTTGGTCTTCTCTTCCTTCCAGGCTCTCTCTCGTCTTGGTCTGGCCCTGGTCAAGGTCCAGGGCTCGTAGACATGAGATCTCTCTCTCTCTGGGGGCAGGGCCTGGCAAACCCTGCCCAAAGTAGTTGGAGCCTGGCTTGATCCTTGTGGTCTCTCTCTGTCTCTCGCTCTCTCTCTTCTAGCAAATTGACCGAGCCTTTCATCAGAGTCAAACTCCTTGGGCGTCTTCAGGGAGCTGCCGTGTAGAAGTGGAGCTGGACCTGAACAGGTCCCCCTCAACCCGGTGGAAGGAGCCGGTGTCCCACCGACCCACCGATACATTTGATCTTCCAACTATGCAACATGTCTGCCTAACCAATCAATTGGCAAAATTTTTGCATAGTGGCATAGTGGAAAAAAACAGGTAGATCCAGGGGACACGCGCGATCAGAAAGGGACGGCCCGGTCGATCTTTGGAAGGGCAAATGAACAAAGTGAACAACATGATTGTACAGTGGTTTCAGAGTAGATGGCAAAATCCCCAAAAGGAAGTCCTAATCTTTCTACACAATATTTCACAATCTTCCCTAGCCCACCATAGTAAGGGCCTTCCAGGTTTCCTACAAAAACGGTTGATATCACTAAATTTCTAAATCTCTTTCGCCCTCAGTTTTGGCTACCTCGGGAAGCGACTTTCCTTTACAAGCATCGCATTTCCATGCTTTTGCACTTCCAGAATTGTTACCAAAATCAACGCAACTCTGATCAGGGACATAACCGGCTGTAAGCTCTACCTCATCCTTCTCTTTTTTGCTGGTGCAATCGCAAATCCATGATCAGTTGCATGATGATCCCTTGTGAGGGTCACTCACTTGACCAATCATCCATCCAACGTCATCCCCACGTCCCTGGCGCTTCAGCGCTGCCTTCGGTCTCTGGCGCATCCGGGGGCCCTCGCCCGGTGTTCTCGATATCTTCTCCTTGGAGCCCAGGAGTAGAACTCCGCAGTCAGAAAAAGGAACAGGATCCACACTACCCCGACTGGTGCGACTTGTAGGTCATGAGGAATGGATCCTAAGTGATCTGCATTCGGGGATCATTCCCTCATTCCCTCACCAGTCAGTGACCTGCACCTCCGACGACCCAAACATTTCTGCTTTTTGGAGGTCCAAATGGCTCAAACGGCAAACATCTCTCGATGGGATTCGTCTGGAGGTTTGGGGACTAGTCGAGGGAAGAAGATTGAACTGTTAAACAGCACCTGCATATTTCACTGAAAACCGAGTGATTGAAGATTGACAAGTCTTCAACCACTCCATGTATTCGATAGAGGTGGAGCTGGGATGTAGGTAGCTCCGCCGTGTGCAACAAGACATACCGATCTTCGTATGAGGCACCTTTCCAAAGAAGTTGTCTTTTACCGTACGGCGGCGTAAATTGTAAAGCTGCGGCGTTTCTTGATTTTGCGGCGGCGTTTTTTCGTGGTTGGCTCGAAGTTGGGTATAGGGTGATTTGTATTGGTTTGTGCCCTTCGTGTATAGTTGAGTTGTGTCAAACCCCGAAGGTTGATGAACGCACCCCAATGTGTGAACTTCTTGTCAACATGCCGACCGGCGACCTTTGGGAAGATGTGGAATTTGGTGCAGTGCTTGAACTATGTTTTAGCTTCGAAACGGCTGGTCGTTCCGGAAGAGCACCAACCAGTGTTTCATAATTGGTTTTCGTGCTTCAGAGCTCCCTGAAAGAGAGAGTGACGAGCATTCAACACCACATTTGGAATTAGTTCTTGAGCCTCATACGTGTCATACGTGTTGCGCGAAATTTGCGAAAATTGCCGGACAAAATGGCGGCCTAAATCCGCGTAATGGCGGCGTAAATTCCCGCAATCAGATTTTGGCAACATATGTCAACCATGGAACACTGAGTTTGCTTGGCTTATCAGGGTGTAGCATACACATGAGCACAAAGACTCTTTTGGGGGTGGTCAATTGCCAAAGCTTGCACAATGACCTTGGAGAATGACCCTGAGTACCAGAAGTTGGGTACAGTTGGGTAAATTTGGCAACAGGAATCGTAGAGCGGTCAGGGATTTGGGATTGCGATGACGTTATCGTGGAGGTGAGTGTGGGGGCTTTGTTACTTGAGGAAACTAACTGAGTATCCTTGAGCCTGGTGTGGAGGAGACATGCACCATCCTTCCCCATATATATGGAACGTGGCGGCGTTTGGTGTTTTTCTGGTGGCGTGTTTTTTGGACGACGGCGGCCATTTTCCACTCTAGAGTGGCACGACGGCCTAGCTTTTTGCCACAATGGAAAGAAGCGGCACCGGCCTTTCTTTCGCCCATCAGGTGGATCTATGGGAGTCAGGTGGATCTATGGGAACTGAATGGTGGATCTATGGGAACTGAACCCTTTCAACAGCACTGGAAAGGACGCCTTTCTGACGCCAGGCGCGGCGCTGGACGGTCCGTCCAGCTCTGGCGCCTCCAAACTTGCGATTTTGGATCGATGATCGATGATCCGTTGGCATGTCTCAAAGCCCCCCCACAGACCTTCGTTCGACCCGTCAGCTTCAAACACGCCTCCTGTGCTTCAGCCCACAAACCTGACCTCACGAACAGGTGCAGGCGTCCAATACTTCTGAAAGCTGGCCAGGTCTCTGAGTGCCAACAGATGGGACGTGTCACCCACCAGTGGCATTGGCACGTGGAAGATGTCGCACGCCGTCTGGGGTCGGTCGTATGCCGTCAGGGTCGTATGCCATCCGTGGGTGCCAAAGAGGACGTCAGATCTGTGGAAGGGAAGGGTTTTTGCGAGGATGGCGGTGCCAATTCCTACAACAGGTTTACTCAGTTTACTCTCCAATGTGCGGGATGGATCCACCACAGCATGTTTGCGGGAGGGTAGGTAGATTGAGTCTGGCTGATTGAAGATGATTTCAGGTCATGCACCCACCTGAAATAGAACCCCCGGTTGAGAAGCTCCCGTGCCAAAAAACGATTCACTCATCCAGGTTGCAGTCCTGATCGAAAGCATGGGGTTTGCAAACGGCACAAGGTTGTCTGCTTGGGATTTGCAATATATGGTATGGCAGGAATGCAGCAACGCACCTGATGTGCCCACCCAGTAACACTTGGTGCTCTACCTCAATGAGTAGTGTTTATCAACTCAACTCCGGTCAAAGTTACCCTAAAGTTCCACTTGAGAAATTCCGGAGAATCGAAGGGAACTTTGAAGGGGAACTCTACACCGCTGCACATCCAAGCCAATCCATGAGAGGAACGCCCTCTCCAAGCCAAAAAACTAGAATATTCCAGCAACTCACCCCCTTGGAATTTTAGTTTAGTGGATGGCCCAGCCACAAAAACACTCCCATCTGCGAAGTAGAGCTCTAAGGATGTCGAGCAGGATGTCTGTCACGAAACTCTTGATGTCTCCAAACATGTCTCCGGCACCATTCACATCTCAGAATTCACGTGTCAAACATGCTACTGGAGGGTGGTTCAGAATGTTTTGGAAGCCGTGCCACTATACACTCCCATCTCTGGAATTAAAAAGAAGCCTACATTGACCCCCGGGACACTACCCATACATGGAGTGGTCCATCTGCCAGTGATCGACCCGTCTCGTGTCGACCGTGTCTCGAACGGATCCGCATCGCTCATCGCTCCACATCGAGCGGCACGGCAGTTCATGGCGCCCCGCAGGGACACGCGCAAGCAGGGGGGCGCCACGTCGGGCGGACCTGATGCGGCGGACGACAAAACGCGGAGCATCAAGCGGTGACGGTGCCTCCGGTGGCCATGAGTTTGAACGGGCCCAGCTTTCTACACGATATGTGGTCGTTGTTGTCCGAAACGCCAGTCTCTTTGCGTGAATTTGGCAAAAGTTGCAACATGTTGCAAAATGACACGTCACCGAGATGTTCGCTTCAGTACACATCAAACAGTCAAACAGTCAATCACAGCACAAAGAACTATACATCTATAGTGCACAACACCACCAATCACAACACAAATCACTCAGAACTTACAATTCCATACAATTCCCTACACAATCGCAACACGTATGATGCCACATCAGCCCCACATCACATGTGCGATATATGGCACTTTTCCACGTCCCACGGGAGCCCCGAGAAAGCTGGGACAGCTGGGAGGTCGACCACTCTGGTAGGAGTACGAGTAGAAAAGCATGGTCAATTGAGGGGGGGGATGTTTGATATGAATATCATTCTACTATAATTACTAGACTATACTATAGACTATACTAATCAAATCGCCCACTTCTGGAAGAAGTTACTGGTCGCGTCCTAACTTTGAGAAGAGATCGATGTCCAAAGCTTTGCACCCCTCCTAGAGCGTCACTTGCCTATTCTCGCTAGCGTCACCCCTGTCACCCCTCCCAAACCTGGAGCACAAATTGGGCAAACGATCCTTGAGGATCCATGAAATGAATCAATCATGATGGATCTGGAACAAATACAAGGACACTCATGAACGAGGTGTGGTAGAGGTAGAACCCCCCCACAAAAGGATCCTCCTCCTGTCCTTAGGACAGTCACCCCAAATTGGCCCTATATAGGAGTCACAAAGGAGTGGCGTTTAGTCCCATCCAGTGAGTGGAGTAGCTGGGCACTCCTAACCTTTGTGACTGCTGGGTGAGTATCTACGTACCGACGTCGGTCAAGGGGCTGCTTTGGTGATTCTCCGCTGAGGCATCGAGGAAGTGTTGAAACGCTTGCTGTTCATCCTCCGGGATGAAGCTTCGAAAATCCTTGCCATTCCTGAAACCGGCGGAGGATTTGGAGGCCACCGGACCGGGTCGTCCGGGGAAGTGGGACCGTGGGACTGTAGACTGTAACACAAAGGGGTGCCGAACTTGGAGGATAGGGGTGCCCAGCTACTCCACTCACTGGATGGGACTAAACACCACCCCTTTGTGCCTCCTGGAATTGTGGATCTATTATTGTGACCAATGAATAGTAATATAACAATCCTGTAGCCCCCAAACAGCCAAGAAAAAGTGCTCGAGCTTTTTGCGCTCGAATTGGAGCCTTCATAGTCCTTTTTGTTCGTTTGTTTTTTGCACTCAAAAAGTGCTCGAGCATGTCTCCTAGACAATGCATTGCATTCAAGTCCATGCACACATGCCCTGCACCGTAACCACCCGAGCAGCACCTTCTGCACAAGTTAATTAGGTTTGACTCTATTTTTATCTCTTGCGTTTGATCCATCCTTTGCGCGCCCACTGTCTGCGATACTCTCCTAAGCACCGCTGAATGGTCCGAATCTTCAAGAGTCCAAGGTCTAGGCTTTCCTTTGACATCCCAGCAGCCCTTAAGGTTTGAGTTCAAAAGGGTAGCTGACATGCAATCATCCTGAAAGTGTTCCAAACCGCAAAAAAAACACAAGTGGAAACAACAAGTTTTTCAAATTGCGCTCGTTTGCGCTTTTTTTGCGCTCGTTTTGCGGATTTTTTGCGCTCGTTTTGCGGATCCCGCGCGGGCAACAGACTCAGTCACATAATGCAAATCACCGTTTTTGCAAAGAGTTGTATTGATCCACCAAATGCGGATCAGCCTGACTTGAACGCAGCTCCTTTGCAAACTCCGCCATAGTTTGCTGCCACGAGTCTGCAGGGTGTGACAACTGTTTTATTGATCAACCAGTCTGCCACGTTTGCACATCCCGCCTTCCTGTTCCTTCATTTTCCAGTGCCCACCCATCTATATGCCAAATGGCTGCATGCGAGTGCAAAAATGCACAAAGTCCGGGAGATTTGGATTTATTGAAGTCTTCACAACAAACATCTGCAAAACCATCCAGTAACCAAGAAAAGTGCTCGACCAAAAAAATGGTGCTCGAGAACATCTTTCTAATAGAAAAACGCTCGCACCCCAAAAAGTGTATCAAACAACCCATTGAGCATGTTTTTTTGTACGAATGGGTGGTCCAGGTATAGTGATTTTATAGGATCTAAATAATACCCTAAGAATCCGGGGCTTCAAACGAGAAGGGCTTTCCGGGTCTGATCCCCTGCTATGAAGGGCCCGACCGAACCATGGGATTATATATAGATCTATTCTATTGTGATAGATTATCAACATTTATCAACCCACTGACACACTGAAAACAAACAGCACCTATAGATTATATAATCCTATATATATATATATCACGTACTATCCATGACATTCCAGTCGCATCTGGAGTGTGTGTGTGTGTGTGTGTGGGTCTTTTGGGGCGCACAAGTCCCTCAGACGGTTTGCACCAAAACCGTTTCCTCACCAAAACAGATCTGTCCGTTTTCGCAAACTCTGAAAGACTCTGAAACCCAGACACTCCATGGGCCTGCCATATGCCTACATTGGGGTGGTTTTGGGGGTCAATTGATCGGCATATATGGCAGTCCCATGCAGTGTCTGGGAAAGGCCATCGGCTTTCGGGACTCGTTCCTGACCTCGTCGTTCCGCCCCCTGGGCTTAACCCAACCTTTTTCCTGCAGATGTTTCGTCGCTGAGGGGCAAGTTCGTCGTGGTCATCAGCAAATGCTTTAAGCATGCAGGGCCTCGGCAGCGGTTTTCCGCGGCGTGGACCTCTAAGTCCTCAAGAGTCCGTCGCACCCCCCCGCGCGTCGTCTTCGGTTGTTCCGTCCCTTTAAGAGGTGCTTCCTGGTGACAACAGGTGCCAGGATAACCACCTGTAGTCGGGTCTCCAAACAGCCGAACCTTGGAGGGTCCTGAGATGTTGAATCGGAATACATCCATTTTACGGTGATGCCATGCTCCAATCCGGTCCGGATATGTCCGGATCGTGAGGAATCTGCAGGTCTGCAACTCTGAAAAAAAACCAGCTGACACCTAGCGGTGTACTCTTATGAGGGTCACTACACCTTGCTGGTACTGCCCATATACGTTCAGCTTGCAAATTTGGTCCACCCTCCAGGCAGCATCGACTCAGATAGAACAGCAGCTTCGCTGGTGATCTTCTCAGGAGGTGGTTGGAGCCATAGTATGCCATAGTGATAGTTGTTTAGTCTTGCTGCTCCAAGAGTTTGAATCCCCAGGGCCCGGTAGCTCTAAGCTGTTGCTCGCTCCAAGCAGTTGCGCATAGTTGCGCCAAGCGACTGCCCTGCACCCGCAGGCCACTATCCAACAAGAGAGCGCCATCACCTTGGCCGAATCGGGGGCAAGAACCGCCAGGATCCAAGAACTGCCAGGTCTCGTTCGAGGCTTGGCCGTTGATGGAGGTCGCGTGTCACAAAAAAGGAACCTGAATGTGGATGGCATGGTCCTTTTCATAAGCCTCACCACCCAACCATATCGAACAAAAAGGACATGTTTTCAACATACAAATGCCCCAAACACTCCACGGATTGCAGGGTATATACCTACATGGCGTGCTTGTGAAACCTCAGGGGTCAATGTATGCCTACCATGCAGGACCTTCCGAGTCAGGAGGTCCTGGCTATAGATCAAATCATTCCAATCCCATGGCTGGACCCTCCAACAGGTGCTTCCTGGTGACAACAGGTGCCAGGATAACCACCTGTGGTCGGGTCTCACAACAGCCGAACCTTGGAGGGTCCGGGCGGAAGGCTTATTCGGATATTTGGATGCGAGGAGCAAATCATACCCGGTTGCACTGAAACCCAGGGTCAGCATTTTCGGATATTTTCCCAGGACTGACCCTGTCTCAGCCAAAACAGGTGGATCAGTACGGCCCCCGAGGAGCCACTTCCCCCCACGACCCACGGGTCGCTGGCCGCTCGCGCAAGTAGACTGACTCGCTCCAAGCGGCAAAGGCCTCTCAACATCCGTCGGAAGCTGCTCAGCCTGAGGTCACGTGGATCTTCACAAAGAACTGGGGTGGAACATCCAACTAAGAGTTCAGAAACCGACAAAGCTGAGTATCCCAGAGGTAAAGAGTAGGGTCTGGATAAGGTCACAAAAAAAGAAAACTCTACATCTCATTACATCTCTAATGGTGGAACTGCTTCATCCCCCTCCTCTCCCTCTCCTCTCTGTGAGTTTCATGCTCTCAATGGAGTGATTCACGTGGAGTCGACCCCGAGTTGACCTCGACGAAAGGACGAGTCGACTCGGAAAACCATGAGTTCAGTCGACCGAGGCCGATGTCGTACCCGGACAGCATGTTCGACGACGCCGATACTCACTGCATACTCCGCTCCAGAGCGAATCGATTCCCACCCGAATCGGGTGGTCCCAGGTGCATGGACTCAGCATCCGCAGTCTCCAGAAGCGCCTCCGATCGGCTGGACCGGTTTTTGACTAGTTGGCATAGAGGCTGGAGGTCAAACCCAGCTGTGAAACAGCCACAAGTGTTTGGAGAACCTTTAAGAACACGTTCCCGATGGTTGTAAGAAAAGTAACATTACTGCAACAACATCACCTTCCAGAAGGTCTGAATCGATTGAACACTTTGTTCATCTGAAGGGACGTTGACCTCCAACGAGGGACGTTGACCTCTGCTGCCAAGGGCAAGGGGTGGGTTTACTGAGATGTAACCAACAACCACCCTGTGCGGATAAGGCTTCATCTCCAACATTCAATGAACACATAGACTGTTGCCAAAGGCCTACACCAAGCATAATCTCAAACCTTCTTGACGTTGCTGACCTTGAAGAGGGGGTTTTTAGTCCGACGCAGGCATTACCAAACATACCCCAGACGCGACCTGTCTGGGACGCCATAGGACTTCCGAGAAACGGCCAGGGGTGGTGCCAGGGGGGTCTGGCTTGATCGGCAGTCCGGAGTGTATGATATATATATATATATATACGACTTGCCCCCATGAGTGTGACTCCTTCTATTCATCCACTCCGGCGAGCACGGTAGCGACTGGAGGGGTTGAACCCGAAGGACCGACAGAGGTGGAAGGACGCGGCGAGCGTGCTCCCAGTTGGGTACCCCAGGTTACGGTCCTAGTTCAGGTCACTTAACTCATAGCTTTCTTACACACCCCAATCCTAGCCACTATGATTAACCTCTCTTGGTGATCTCATGGCATTTTTCTGGGTGTTGGTCCTGCAGTCTTCCTAACTCAGTGACACCGCCAGCCCGCACCTCGATGCGCTTTTGAATAAAATACTCCAGGGACATGGAGATGGTGATGATCGAGAGAAGGATCCTCGGAACAGGACTGCCGGCACATGGAGTCGTCAGCTTGGCCGGCCAATGGAGTTATCATGGTTCCCAATTCTATTATTGACCCCCAAAACCACCCCATATGACAGACATGGAGTGTCTGGGTATACTTTTAACCTATATTTTCCTTACCCAAACGCTCCATGGGACTGCCATATATGCCGATCAGGCCAGGGCTGGTGCCAGGTGGCTTGATCGGCAGTCCTATGGCAGTCCCAAACAGGTCGCGTATGGGTTATAGTGCTTGTAAAGGAAGCTCCCCGAAACAGGTCCTCTAGTCATTTTTCCTTTGAGTCTTTTCCGTAGACCTTCCGCTCGGCGGTTGGAACCCTCAAAGCCCTTTCCAGAGAAACGCATAGAGCATCATAGAGCTGTCCTGTCCTTTGAAAACGAGGAGCGGATCCGCCCAGCGGATTGGCTTCGACTTCAGTCCCCATAAAAGACCATCAACTCCGATGGCCGTTCAGGATCAAATTCCGAAACCGAGTCCCGAGAACATGCGCTTTTCTGCGCGGCCCAAACGGGACGAACCGACACTCATCGAAGGCCCAAGGAACTGACACTCATCTTGCCTGGGCAACGGCCACCGGCTCGTCATTTCGATCTTCGGGTTGGCAGGAGCTTTAGATGCCTTTTTTCAACCAGTGGTTGATAGAAAGCCCACGTCTGCGGAGAGGCGATTCTATTTTTACCCATGCTGAATCTCAATCTTTCATATCTGTCATAGCTTGGCAAGTAGGACGATACACGATACCCAATACCCAACGAAATGGCATGTCCGGGAAAGCAACAATAAATAAGACCGAGCAATAATTTGTGTGGCGCGGACGCCCCACAAACAACCAATGGAAGAGCTGTCAAATGTCTATCTCACAAGTTTGTGGCAGTAACTTTCGTGGGATTCGATGCCCTGCCCACAGTATGACACAGCATAAACAGTCAAAAAAGAACAAACACACACACACACATGCAGGAAAGCGTGCATGAAATTGCCAAGTGATAGAAGGTCTGAATGACCAGCTGGTCGTTCGGGGAGTTCTTGACTGATCGAACACTTGCAGGCTTTGAAGACTTCCGACGGATGTCACTGGTCAACATTGGTTGACTGAGAGCGCTGAAAATCCAGGAACCGTCTTCACAATTGGACAAGTGACGCCTTGCACCTCACCTTCTTGATGAGTGTTCCAAAGGTTTCTAGCACCCTTGACTCCTTCCCTTTCTCGTCCTTTCCTTCCCATTTGGGTATTCCTGGACTTCAACACCCCACCAGGAAACCAACTTAAGTGCCAGCTTGAAACCACATGGCCTGGCATGACTCTTGGCACTCAACTGCCATCTTCCTCACTGGCGCCTCAGAACTCCATGACCTGCGAACTCTTCCGAACTCAATCCGAGCTCCGAACTCCGAGTGGCAAGGCTTGAACCACGCTCCGACCATCCACGGATCCCTCCACGTAGATCACGGCCAAGGAGGCCAAGGACTGAAACACCCCGCTCACCCTCGGCGTGCGGCTCCCGCGGACAAAAACGCGGCTCCGCACGCGGACGACTCGCATGGACGAGATGGGACGTCCCGGAGGTTCGGAAGTCCGGTGGGAGGCTTATACCCCCCCCGCTGGGGGGGCTGCTGTGGTGCATGTGAAAGACAAAGAGCAAGCTTCTGAACGTAAGTGATGAAGAGGTAAGCTGGTTCTTGGGCAATTGGCCGTGAAAGCTGAGTCAATGCAACAAGGATGCCCTGTCCTATAGTACAGCCCTATGTTCTGATCCAGCATCTCATCAGCTGCACATGTTCAGCTGACATCGGAGAGCACACATGTCACCATGGGACTCCGAGTTTCTCAACGCTCGACTCTTGCGTCGCGTCATGTGTCCCCAGCGGTGTGGCGCCAAGAGGCTTGGTGTCCATGAAGACCACCGTCATCACCTGCGGTGGAAGACGTGGGTGGGAAAAGCACCTGCCACAGTATCCGGTTTCGAACCAATTCGGAGTCTGACCTGGGTAGCACCGTCGGAGACGGTCATGATCTTGGTGATGTCCGTGAAGTCTCGGACTACCCCCCCCACCCCGGACTAGGAGAAGTTTGCCCCACTCATCTCTTGGCACGGCCATTTTGCCTCAAAGCCCGGCAAAATGAAGGATCCAAATCGCCCACCTGGTGAAGCTCATCCCGGTTTTTGGACCACTGAGAACCTCATTCATCCCTTCCTTCGATGAATCTCCGAGATCGGCAAAGGAACGACCTCTAGCCGACCTTTGGACCTATAGGCATGGACCCTGGAAGACGATCCCCATGGACCCTGAAAACCACTGGTTGGTACAGGAACAGACTCTTCCAGGCACCAGGCGACAGTCAGGGTCTATGTTAGTTGACTCGGGAGTGTAAGGCTTCCTGTCACTGTTCACATATACCCTGCATGGGGCTCCTGGCCCAAGTCCTCCGGTTCGGTATTCGATTTTCAGATCTTCCCACCCCTGGCCCGCCATCGAAACGGACGGGGGGGGCCAGGAGCCCGTTTACGGCGGGATATATAGATGAAACAGTGCGGTGCCGAGCTTCAGGTACAGTATATATACCTTGGGTCTATCATGGTCTGCCCCATTACCAGCAACATGAATCCAGTAACAGTGGATGATGGTGAGTAAAGGCCATTCTCTAAATTGTGATAATTGTTGTTTACCAACTGTTACAGGTATTAGGACAACAACTTAAGACTTATACCGACCCTTCCAGGACGTCATACAGCCCCGCCCCGTTGATGGAATATGGATCAGTAAAAAGAGCCCGTTGCCCCCTAAGTTCACGAAGAAGATATGGAGAACCATGAGGGGTCAAGTGACCCTACAGGACCCTACTGGGGTACCTATGGGATAGTCTATAGAGTCCTTCAACCTCTGTTGGAATATTCATGTTCTTGCATTGGATGTGCAGGGTTTGTGGTCGGGGGCCAGAGGGGGCGGAATCTCGCATGATCCATCTTCCGCGCACATTTTAACTGAGGCACATAGCGACTACAAATGATGAACTTCATGGTCGTCAACTGCACAGCTTGCAGTGTTGCGAGCCGACTTCGTCGTCTTCAAGAGTTTGATGGAAAAATGTGGGACACGCATTCACCAGGGCTCCAGAGCTACCTCTTGAGACTTGTTCGGGTTTGGAGGGTCGAATGGGATGTCTCAGGTATCTGCTGAGAAGGGATTTGGGGCATTATAGATTGGTTTGGGGGACTTCAACAGGAAGGCTGCATGAACCCGAGCGGCGCAGCATGGCGCAGCCACAGTTTTCAACCCATCTGTACTACATAATTAACTTCAACAGGACTGGTTGGGCCTGGAGCCACAGTTGCCAAGTAAGAAATGCTGGAGTAAGTCAGTAGGTTTCACTACTTAGCAACCACTAGTTCCACCGAGGAGAAACAGTTCCACCTCAACAGGACCCGTAAGTTGTACTCCCATGGCCATGGCACTGGCCATAGCCATGCTAGCATGCCATAGCATACCTACAAAAGATCTGCTGAACTTGGCTGGCTTTAGAGATGAAAAGGATCGAAAAGGCCACCATCTTGCACGGTTGGCAGGTCCAGGTATGCCAGCATCGTCCAGAGTTTGCGGATCCTGTTGGCCGGAATCTGCAGTGGTTCGGGCGGTGGAACACCATCGGAACACTCGCGTGAAGTTGTCCAGAAACACTTCCCCTATCGAACTTGAGGACTATGTTGGTTACAGTGAGATCGCCATCGATGAACCCCCAACCAAACACACGCTCCTTCCAGGCGCCATTCCACCGTCCACCGCGCCGGAAAAGAAAGCGCCACGAATGCATGGACCAGTGGCTGAATCGTTGAGCGATAACGTGCTGGGAGTACACAGGATGTAGACCAAGAACCTCGGATGGCGCCGGAGGCATTGCAGTTGAAAACAAAAATCACCGGCGAGTCTTGCAGGTGCAGGTGACCCTCGTTCCCACCGAATTCGTTCTTGCTTAGGCCAGGAAAAACACTCCCCAACAAAGGCTTTGCAGGTGATCCACTTTTTCTAGGGATGTCGGGCGGGGCGGGACGCTGATGCGTCCTATGAGTCACAGGAGCCGTGCGCCGAAAACCAAACACATCAACCAAAGATTCGCAGAAGTAGTTGCTACCCAGAGCCCATTGAACCCCCTGCTTTGATATAGGACCTGATAGGCAAGGACCATATTTTTCTTGCAGCGGCTGGTGGTCCAAGATGGAGGTCACTCACGTAAAGATATTGGGTGCTGTTAAGACCTCCTCACTGGGCCGTATCGCTACTATCCACCAAGGGAAGCCGCTTTGCTCAAGCCTTCCCGCGGCGCGGCTGTCGTCTACCGTGTTCTTTTGACACGGTGGATGCCGATGTGGGCAAAGCCATGTAATGCCTTTGTTGATATCCCGATTTTACCTGCACGCAACCACGTTTCCAGCGAGCATTTGTTGCGCAGTCGGCATGTCTCGGTCCTGCAGGTGCACTCATGGACAGTTCTGCAGGAATGTCGGGATTTCGTAATCCTTGAGATTAATGGCAGAAGGAGATCATACACGCAGTTGGCGAAGATCAGTCCTGATACCTACCAAAATGCTTGTTGGAGGCACCTGCTACGTGGTACATCGCTGGACTCCGGAAAGGGTGTAATATGATGTATGTTCCGGTGTGGACATCAGAGTCACAGGATATTGCTCCCGACCTGGAAGCATCAGATCACAGTACACCTTACCATGCTGAGGAGTTGATCATCCTCACCTGCCTTGCAGCTGTGCTTGTGTCAGGAAGAAACCATGCTACGTGAGCCACTTTTGGGAGACTATGTGGCTCTGTGTGCTTGGATCATGTACAGTTGGCTCAATGGTAGCTCAATTGACTACTTCCGCAAACTCTGCCGAGCACAGCAGTTCCAGACATGGGAAGATACAAACATACTCTCTCCCTGGCGCAGACAATCGATGTGTCAGTGGCTAAGTAGAGGAGCTGGCAAGATGTGTCATTTTAGGCAATATAGGCAAGATAATGACATGCAGTCAGCAGGTACTGCACAGAGATCTGACGCAGTACAACCTGATAGATGCTCTCGCTCTGCCTGTGGTGCCACTCGATTCCCATTGGAGAATAAGAAAAGATCAAGAAAGAACAAGACGGGGTAGGGATACAGAATGAACCACCCCCAGCATCGGGACAGGTTGGCCATACCGAACAAAAAGATGGGACAGGGCAAAACGAACCGTCCCCACGTGATGGAAACGATGGAACAGGGCACAATGAACCGTTCGCACAGGCCGTCCCGATGCCTTCCCGCAGCCATTTTGCCACCGGCTCGGTAGAGCCTAGGTTTGATGTTGCCATGGAGCGCCCATACCCATCTGTTTCGCAGTGTGCTGGGAGCCATTTGCGCAAAGAGTTTGCCCTTGGACCTGGATGCCTTGAAGAATTCTCCCAGGGTGCATATCCAGTAGTTGCAGCGGGGATATTTGAAGCCGCATGCAACATTAGGTGAGCGCCTCAGTTTTGCAACAACCACCGAAGGATGGCTGTCAACAGATGAATGAGCATTTGTTATGGGTAGGTGTCGCAAACCAAATTCACCATATCATTTTCTTCCGGTAGCTCACTACTCACCAGCCGCTGATGAATTCTCATTTGAAGGCGAATTCCCACAGATTCCGAATCGTGGTGTCAGCTTGCTACCCATCCTATATGGAGCCCATTGGGTTGGAGTGGAGGTGGATCAACAACACGATACGCCAGAGATCACCTTGCTTCAGGCATCGACGCCATTGCAGCTCGTCTTGAAATGTTTGTTTGTCATCTTATCCAAATCCCACCCCATCGATTGAGGATGAGTCGTACCTCACATGTCAGGCTGGACATTGGTGTGGCGATGGATGAACTTGACTCATTCACAAAACGTGTTTCAAAACGTTATGCATGAGCTTCATATGCTCTCAGATGATCGTAAGCGTATCATACATCGAGTTCTGAGTCATGCCATCGAATCCTGGGGTCGAACACAAGCCGAAGCCGAGCTGCAGCAGGTCGCCTACACAGTCAGATTAGCCTTTTTGGTCCATCTTTTTCAGTTCAATACAGGGGTCTACACAAGGCTAGACGCAATCGCAATCTGCGCAGCAGGTCACCCCTTGTCTGTCTTTGAAGCTGTACCGCAGCTACAAGCACCACAACCACAAGTTGATCCTGAGCAACCGCAAGTTGAACAAGACGATGACCCGCAACAACACAGAGTAGAAGTTTACACCAGAGATACCCAAACTCAGGTCACATTTGGAGCTGTCCCAATGCCATCCGTCAATCAAGACCATGCAGAAGAGCAGGAGGTACACACAAGACTTCAAGAATACTGTATACACCCAGACATGGCAGCATCAGATGAACTGGATCTCATGACCACTGTCCTGCAGCCGTTTGTTGGCCTTTGTAGGTTCTGCCCGACATGTCACTGGGAACATCAGCTTGGCGTAATTCGTACAATTGTTAAAGAACAAGGCACCATGGCCATTCAACCTCTCATGAAGCTGTTTATGCTAGGTCATGAGCACTGGTTCGTGGTCTCTGCTGAATTGCACAACCATCTCCTTTGGATCGAGGTTCTCGGATTTCCTAGCCATGACCCTGAGGAGTTTACAAGCTTCATCCATGCCCTGTCAGTCTTTCTCCGATACCCAGTGAGACTCTTTCGTGCAACACAACAGTCTTACCCCTGCCCATGGAGAATGTGTGGCTTTCGCATGCTACTAGATGTTGCCAGGCACCGCGGAGTTCGTGCTCTCCCAACTTGTCAACATGTGTTTCATTCGCTGCAAACCTGTCGTTGGCATGACATGATTGAATATGTTATCAGACATGCTACGCAGGCATGGCAGACGGCTACAGATGACACAGATCTAGTGGCCTTTGCATTTGTGACTCGAGTTTTGCACATAGAACACCTGGTTCGTCAATCACCAATTGTCAGACATCACGTGGGAGGGGGTTTTGATCCGCCGTGGTTCTCAGGGATGTCTTTGCCAAGTCTGTCTGAGCAAGCGAGGTCTAGCATTTCTGACTTTGTTAAGGTCCATGTGCCAGTAGAATATGTGTGTAGTTGCAAGGTAAGAGGGTTTAAACAGTACATGCAAGACTGGTATGGCACGGCCCTAGTCACATGCAAGATTGACCGTCCTGCCAGGACCTTGGCATCCAAGATTGGCCCATTGTCGGTAGCTTGGCCTGCTTGTGCTCATGAACAGATTCGGTTTCTACATATTGCAATCCCACATGAGATATGGTCATTGCTTGGCCCGGATATGCAAGTTCATGTAGTAGAAGCCAAACTGCTACAGTTCGATGGTAAATTCATTGTTGACATCAGAGCACCGCAATCTGGGATCTCACCGATACATACTCCCAAGACTACCAGTGAGACGTCCATACACGTCGGTGAGTTTTTCGCAGGTGGGTTCTCAGGCTGGGCCTTTGCCCTTCGAAGCCTCGTTGACGCACACATCCCTGTGAAATCCATATTTGCCATTGAACATGACGCCATTGCTGCAAAAAAATCATGCACATAATCACTCCCGTTATGCAGCCATCACATCGGCTGCTCAAGCCATTTCGCTAGGTGTTGATGGGAAACCACCTACCGATCACCTCACATTTTTGGCCAACATTGAGCACGCCTGGTGGCATGCCATTGTCCAAAGCATCGATATCCTCACAGTTTCCCCACCATGCCAGCCCTGGAGCCGTGCAGGAAGTGAACTCGGCCTTGAAACCGCTGATGGCCGCCTAATCCTTCAGATGTTGGTTCAATGCCACTTCTTGAATCCTGCCATCATATGTTTGGAGGAGGTAGCGTCAAACACTTCCCATGGGTACAGGCATTTTTACACTGGAGTGGATATCGAGTCACTTGACTTGGCATAAGAACGTTCACCTTCAAGAGGTTCTCCCGCAATCTCGCAACCGACTACTTATGGTAGCAAATCGCATTGATGACCCCAGAGTCTCAAATGTCATGTGTCGAACTTGGGAAGAAGTTGACGGTCCACCCACACTTGCACAGCCGCCAGAAGATCATATGCACAGCCTGACGCCCAACATCCCATCATGGCTCTTGGAACAATACTTCCAACGTAGGTATCTTCCTAAAGGAACAGGCCTCACAGACCATGAAGTGCGCAGGTGTCGCATTAAAACCAGCAGGGATGTTCATCCATGCGTAATGGCCAACTATGTACGGTCGCATGACCTCCCAGATAGAACATTGTTAGATGGTGGTCTGATTGGCTCGTTCATTCTGAGCGCTGGAGTCCTCCGGCGGCTATCAATACCAGAACTGCTCATGCTTTTTGGCTGCTGCCACTCATGCTACTTGCCAGCGGATGCACATATCACCTACAGGCTACTAGGTAACGCCATTGCCATACCCCATGCACTGCTGTGTCTCACCAATGGACTTGCACAACGCGTCACCGTTACATGGAACCAGATCCCTCTCTGGATTCTCCAAGATGCCCTGCAGGAACGACTGTTCAATCACAACGTACAGGCTTCCCTCGTTATGGCGGATACACATGTTCTCATTGAACGATTGCAAGTTTCCTCCACAGCGCCTTGGGGACCGACTGAGTATCCACTTGGCACATTGCACATCCCGCAGCATCAAGAGCATTTGACGTTTCGGGTCCAAGAAGGTGTCCCATTGCTTGACCTGCTAAGATTCCTGTTTGACATTCGCTCCAACGCTAATGCAGGGTGGAAACCACGAGGAGATGCCCAAGTAGAAATCCCACTTTTTGCTGAAGACCAGACGCCGCTGGTGGGGATGACATTGAATGATGTTTGGTTGGGGCCATTGATCCTAGATGAAAACAAATT